AAGAGACACTAATCGCAAGGACAACAACATTCAATAATTTATTGTAAGCAAAACGTGGCATTTTAATTTCCTGAATAGGTAGAATAATATTCCATATTACGAAATGAGATATTTGTTTAGCTCCTAACAATACATTCTACAAACGCCATACATAACAATTTGCTTGTGTAAAAAATCGCTTGATCCTTCCAAAAATAGTGAAACATTAAATCAAAATGATAATACTGTTCAGAAAAAAGTTAGCCTCTACTATTTTCAAAGAGTATTACAATAATTTGATAGATAAATTACAGTTAATACTTAAGAAGCAAAAGACAATGTCAATTTTAAATCCAGTAGAGCAGGTTCACCATGTGCTCTTCGCCACCCATTATTTTGAAATTAAAATCAAGTGCTAAACTTCTCTACGACTTATACCAAAATAATAATAGTAAGTTTACGACGAGAGACATTATATGTACTGTAATAGTATAAAGTAATGCTCTAGTCTAAATAATATGACTTCACTGTCTAGAAATAAGGTACATCAATGAATATGTACATCAGACACAACGTTAGGCCTGAAGCAGCGGAATGGCAACATCATTTTCAGCAGCTTTAACCAAACTGGTGCAACGGTCTTGTAACCACCTCAACAAGGCTGATGTTAAGCAATTTGAAGGGCCACTTAGCCGATTTCAGCACGTTCTTGCCCTCTTAGATTAAGATTTCGGTACGACCAGCTGAACATACCACCGTATCAACACCGGAACAGCAAAACCTGTTAAACAAACAGTTACTTGGGCGAAGCAAAAGAGGAAGTAAGAGACCTTATAACTTATAAAAGACAAGCATAACCAAGGGGAGATTGAACTATGTCAAAGCCAGGTCTACACTAGTACGGAAAAAGACGGTTTCATGGGATTTTGTGTGGAATAGAAGAAGCTGAATGATGTAACGCAGAAGGATATTTGCCTATTACTGTAAACCGGCGACACATTTGACAGTCGAAGTGATTATTTAGTAATTTTATCAAAGTGGATTCCTCGGAGCAATCCAAGCTGCCCGTCGCCTCTGTACTGGTTGTCTATCCTTTGCTGTCTGGTGACCCAGAGAACCAAGCCGCAGCCGACGGCGCTTCGCTGCTTGCTTTTCAATTAACCATCTCTAGCTTTTCACAGTGGATAGAACCGTAACTGGTTAGGACGCCGTTACCATCCTTAGCACCTTTCTCACGAACACCACCCGTCGGTCTGCCCTTGACGAGGCCCAATTACGCTACCCTTTCGAACCACCCTGGTGATTCGGATGTCCTCGAAGTCGATAACCAACAATGCATACGTGTGTGCAGACAAACTACTGACCCATATTTTTTTGTGTCCATGCTCGTCACATTATTTTAACACTGTTATTCTAAATTTGTAGCTTAACCATATCTTTACTACTCTTGACTACTTTGCACAGTTGCCATTTCTAAATAGTTTACCCTATAATCTTCTCACTCATTTGAATAAGTTTGTTTCATTTACATTATATTAATTTAGTCGCTAGTTTTTAGGTTTTCTTGATTACAGTAATTTTAGACTCTTCCACAGAAAATTATATGAATTTTTGTAAATATTTTATCAGTCATCACTGAACTGTATAAATACTTGAACATGTACTACCGAAGAAAGTATATGGGCTTAATGCAGGTGATTACTGATTAGTTTGTATGATGCGATTACGGCTAGTGACTGCTTTGCTTGGAGTAGTTAGGTCAAAAAAGTGTTGTTACGATAATTCTTAACAATTTCAAATTAACTTCTTCTCGATTGCGTTAGAGACCATAGAAAATAATGTTTACATATTATTTAAACCCATTAACAATTTCTGCTCGTGTATCCCATTCAAAGTGAATGAAATTTTGATAAAAATTTACAAATAAAAAGAAGATCACAGTTCAAGGAAAGAAATACTATCAACGTGTTATTCTTTTTTTTATATTATCTGAATATATACATATATGTATATGGCAATCATTGAAAACGTCATAGTTGAAGATGATTTCTCATGCTGAATTAAATCGACCGCTTTCGTCATCGCTCCCCGCCAGTCTTCACTTATTCCTCGTGTTTGATGTGCTTCGCTCGCTCGTTAAGTTATCATTTTGGCATTTGCAGTTATTTCAAGATCGGTTTTACGTTATAAAGCTTTCTGTATAACTTTGGTGATATGCTGATATACTATTCCTATTCCTAAGAAAATTATCCTAAAACAGGTATTTGATTTCTCTATCTCTGGTTCACCTAAAGAATTTCTCTCAAAGAAGCTTCTTACTGGTGTTGTTCGCAGGATATTTTATTTTTGATACAAATCAATAATTTTGTATCAACACCGAATATTATCATCCCTAGTGGAAAGCTTATTTGATAGAAAATCTGTAGAGGAACTAAAGATGGGGCAATCAAATACCTGTCTTTTAATAATTTTCTTGAGTAGTCATAGTATATCACCACTGAACCACAAAATTACATAAAAACCGTTATAACACAAATTGGAAAAGATCAAATCAAGTGAGAATAAAATGTTTTTATTATAATGTTTTTTACCCTTACCAGTTTGATCTATAGCAATTAATTAGTTTCTTGGGATACCACTACTTTTTCATTTAGTACCATAAATATAAACAGTTGATAGTATTCTTTTCATCAGAATTTGAGCTATAATTTCGGGAATGCTAATCATATTTTTTTTTCCAAATTTCAACAAATTTTACCGCTCATGTGCGACAAGGAGATATAAACCGATTGTATTTCTTTTTTACCTCTCCTTAGTCTTTCCAATTCGGAACTTTTCCTCTGTATTATGATTTTAAAGAATCTCCTTTTTAATTCTTTTTTAGTCCATCCCTAGTACACAACCCCTTTTTATTAATGAGTACTAACAGATTGACTCTTCGTGACTAGGTTCGTTTTGACGTGACGCCCAACTTTCCACAAGAAAATATGCGGATTTGATAGTTTTATTGCGAATGGCTTGTTTTGCAGTACAATCTGGAAATAATTCATATATGTACGAGGGTGGATTGATAAGTTTCCGGCCTAACCAAGAGATGACGCCACTAGGCCTACCTTGAGGTGACATTCTATAGTACCATCCTTGGATAGCTTGTAGCTATAGTTTCAGCCCGATCTCCTTGCTAGTGTAGGTTTGACAGCACGCTGAACAAGACGCCTCTGTGGTTTTCGTAAAAATGGAAAAGCAGGAAAATCGTGCTGTCATCAAATACTTTTATTTGAAGGGGTTAACGCCGAAGGAAATTAAAAAAGAGATGGACTCAACACTGGGGACATCCTCCCCGTCATATTCAACCGTTAAGCAGTGGGTTTCCGAGTTTAAAAAGGGTCGTGTGAGCACCTCTGATGGGCCTCGCTCAGGACGCCCCGTTGAGGTCACAACTCCAGATATGATCGAAAAAATTCATCAAATAGTGCTGGGAGACCGCAGATTGAAAGTGCGTGAGATAGCTGAGACCTGTAAGATGTCATATGAACGTGTGCAACATATTTTGCACCAACATTTGCATATGGAAAAGCTCTGTGCAAGATGGGTGCCGCGTTTGCTAACAGTCGACCAAAAATTGATTCGAAAAAACATTTCTACCGCAAATTTGTCATTGTATAAGCGTAATCCAAGCGAATTTTTGCGTCGATTCGTAACCGTTGACGAAACGTGGGTCCACCACTACACTCCTGAAACCAAAGAACAGTCTAAACAGTGGATTGGACCAGGGGAACCAACTCCAAAGAAGGCAAAAACAATTTTTTCGGCGAACAAGGTTATGGCTACTGTTTTTTGGGATGCAAGAGGTATTATATACATTGATTACCTTGCAAAGGGTAATACTATCACTGGTCAATACTACGCAGACTTATTGCAACGTTTGAGCCACGAGGTGAAAATTAAACGACCTCATCTGGCGAAGAAAAAAATCTTGTTTCATCACGATAACGCACCAGCGCACACGTCAATCGTTGCGACGGCTAAAATCAACGATCTAAAGTTTGAATTGTTGCCGCACCCTCCTTACTCTCCAGACCTAGCCCCGAGTGACTATTTTCTGTTCCCTAATCTCAAAAAATGGCTTGGCGGTAAGAGATTTGCGGACAATGAAGAAGTAATCGAAGCTGTAAATGGTTATTTTGAGGAGCTTGACGAATCAGTCTATAGAGATGGCATTAATAGACTGGAACACCGCTATGAGAAATGTATCAGCCTTGGAGGAGATTATGTTGAGAAATAAAAAAAAAAAATTTTTAAAAACCTTGTTTTTCTTGGTCAGGCCGGAAACTTATCAATCCACCCTCGTATATCTTAGTCCTAGAAAATAAATTGTTTGTTCGAAGCATCCCTCACTCCCGTGTCCAAAAACGATGCTATAAAAAATCATTACTAATCAACTGATGTTTCTAGAGCTGCTTAGCAAATATCAGCATTATTAATTGGTCACATTGTCCTACAAATAAAATAGTAGGATATCCCTGTCTTACGTTCGAAAACCGTTAATTATGCGGTGAAGGGTTTTTTCATTACTAGCAAGCTAATTTGTTTTTTCTTTTAGGGAGTAAATTTTTCACAAAAAATGTGGTATATATTGAAAAAAAAAATAACAGTGCCGTCTAGGAATGCCCGAAAGAAGCAAGGCTTTATAGTATAAAGTGTAGGAACTAAGCGTTAAAAAATCATGAAAACAAAAAGACGTGAGGGCAAAAAAAACCTTGAGAAAATGAAAAAAAAACTGAATACTCGGGAAAATAAAAATAAATACGTTAAAAATAAAATACACCCCTAAAAACGCAAGGCTACGGCGGAGCTCTGCAATTTTTTTGTTTTCTAATCGTGAAGAGAGCTCCGCTGTAGCTTGCGTTTTTAGGCGCGTATTTTATTTTTAATGTTGTTCAGATTTCCTAGAAAAAATATTTGGTCTGCTCCTTTTTGAAAAATATACATTTACAAGGGCTGGGATTATACCTGCTAACTTTCTCTTTGGGGCATTATGGGTTGTATGCAGGCAGATTGAAACTTGAAAACAAGGGGCAATAAAAAAAGGTTCAAGGAGGAGGCAGGCAGTTTTTCGGAAAGAATTTTAGAAGGAGAAGTACTTTGCTTTTCATGACGAGTAGGCGCTCTCGTATCGGGTTTATAATTCAAGGAATATAATTTTGGGAAATCTGCACATAAATAAGGTTATGTGTAGGTTAAGGTTTTATACATTAAGTTTTTGTACATAGTGTTGTGTTTTGGAAAATACAAAGCTTTAACGCAACAAGGGTTTTTAATTTGACAATACTAGTCCATTGGTTCATCCTGAGCTAACGAGATGATGTGTAGCGAATTACGCACACATTAATTGGTCCTTCGAGCCGGATCAGGAGTACCCAGGATTAGTGGTAATACATGGGAATTCTTCTATATAAAATAAAAGTTTGAATACTACAAGGTTTGCGCATTGGAAGTTACGGATTTCTGGAATTCTTCGAAATTGGTACCGAAGATATATATGTGGATACAAGGAGTTGGATCTACTAGGTCATTTATGGGCGATAGTGTGTAGTGTACAGTGTATACAGTGGATAGTGAAAGTTTGGGATTTAAGGTCAGACAAAATATTTTTTATTGTTTGTTGCATTTTTTACTGACATTTTTTAATTAGTGGATTATTTGTTGATATTGGTTTCTTTGATTAACTTAGTTGCATAATTTCGTTGGGTTACGTCATCATTATTTTTAATTTTTATTAAAATAAAAATGGAAAGGTTAAATAGACAAAGGGCTGTCTTTAAAGGCACAATTACTAGGGTGGAAACCTTTATAAATAGAAGTATTGCTGACAACAATATAGATGTTTGTGAATTTGAAGTAAGGCAGAATATGTTAAATGAGGCTTATGTAGGTTATTCGGAAGTTCAAGGGAAAATAGAAGACGAGGATGATTCTGAAGTCACATTAAATGATAGAGCTGACGTAGAAACCAGGTACCTAAATTTAAGTGCATTAATTAAAAGGTGTTTAAAGAAAAACATTGAAACAAATTCTAATTTGAGTTCTAGTTCTTTAGGGTCATTACAGTCTCAATATAACAATATTAAAGTTCCAGAAATATCTATTCCAGTTTTTAGTGGAAAATTTTCAGATTGGAGTAGTTTTTATGATTTATTTAATGCACTGATTGTCGAGAACACACAGTTCTCTGATATTCAAAGGTTTATTTATTTAAAATCATCCTTAAAGGGTGAACCTTTAAAATTGGTCGAAAATTTACCTTTAACTAACGACAATTTTAAGATTGCTCTAAACATTTTAAAAACTAGGTATGAGAATAAATTGTTTGTTGTTAATGCACATATTAAGGCACTGGTGGAAATTCCGTCTATAAATAGATGTACGGGTCCTAATTTACGTGAATTCATTACAACAGTAAAACAACATGCGGAATCGTTAAAAAATTTGAGTGTCCCAATTGAGAGCTGGGACCTAATTTTAATTTATTTACTAATGCAAAGATTAGATTTTCAAACTAAACAAGCATTTGAATTTGATAGAGGAAGTAGTGCATTACCTACATTAAAGGCATTTTTGGATTTTCTGGAAAAACGATGTATTGCATTGGAAAATTTAGGGGTCCCGGAAGGTAAAGGAAAGTTCATCAATTTAAACACAACTAGCACGGATTATAAGGGAGTGCACACAGGTCTAAAATGTGAGTATTGTAAAGGTACTAATCACCATATTAGTAAATGCTATAAGTTTAAATCGTTATCGACTGACCAACGACGACAATTTGTAACTATAAATAAATTGTGTTATAAGTGTTTGTTGCCTCATTTTGTGCAGAATTGTACTAAGGCAGGGTGTTCAATTTGTAAGGGTGGGCACAATACTTTATTGCATGTTCAAAGGGGCAAAAACGGGGGTCAAGGTCCTAGCAGTAAAGAAAACATTGTCGTAGGTAACAGCTCTAACGGTGACGGTCAACGTGGCATTAATGGAAACAATAGGGATATTCCTGCCTCTCAGGAGAACACCATCGCAGTAATTGATCATAATGAAATAGTAGGAGAAAAGGCGTCTTTAAGTAATTCCATTCAATTATCTGCAATTGCAAAAGGTAGATCTAACTATGTTATGTTAGCTACGACACAGGTGTGTCTTTTGGATAGAAACGGGAGGTCTGTTATAGCGACAGCTTTATTGGACAGTGGTGCACAATGCTCGTTAATAACAACAAAATTAGCGGAAAGGTTACTGTATCCAACCTATAAACGCACTGTTCAAATTTCGGGAATATCAGGCAAAGGGGCGGTGTGTAACGAAATGATTGACATTACACTATCTTTAAAAAATTGTAAGGATATTAATAATAAGGAAATTCATGTATCTTGTTCAGTTTTAGATAGATTTGTAT